TGTTGTCTTATCGATTGACCTGAGCTGCTGGAATGAGCTACACTTACCCTTTGTGTTTCCACGGCTGAGATTAAGGGACATGTTCAAAACGTATGTCAAAACCGCAAAAAAGATATCAATGTCAGAGCTTATAAGCCAATAAGTACCAATAGCAATTTTAAAACACGACGTGATACTTTTTTAAAATATTAAATAACCATTCCTTGCATGTTTGCATGTTTACTGAAATTATCTAGTCACTATAAATATTTTTACAATTGGGGGGTTACAAAAATGGTGAAAATCAAGAATTGACCAAGCAGATTAGTCAATAAGTAATTAATCATAACCCCCACCTTGTAAGTAATTTCTCCGGTACAACATTGGTGAAAAGAGTAATCATCCAGGCACACACAGTTAAAAAACATTTATTAACAAGGAAAAATCTCAATTTTGCTACAGACTACAACATACTCTATGCTACATACTCTAACATACAACAAGTTACTCAATGTATACAGTATTTACAAAAAAGGCATTTCAGAGGCTTAACATCCTAATTGCTCAGAAAACCCCCAGACTTATACTAAGTATTAAACTCTTAATAGTTCAAGTAGGTAGCTGAAAAGAGAAGAAAAGAAACACAATGTTTTGGCTGTGGAATTGCTATTTCTTTTCTTCTCTTTTCAGCATGAAATAAACCTTTACTTCTTCCTTAAACTTTTAAGGCCAAAGAAGAGATAAGCTGCCTTTCTAAGTAAATGTGATACAACCTGCAGTTAAATCTGTCTGCCACAATGCCCAGATGCCACCAAATAAAGGCTCCATATTCTAAAAATGCACCCTTAGCAGGAAAGACATCTCTAACCGAGGTATCTTTTACTCAGAAAAGCCATGTTCTCTAAAAGTCCCCTAGCAAGGTTCAGATACTGTAACTCCAGTTAGGCTTTGTTTGGATGATCATGAAGTAGGGGCTTTTACCTGCAGTAACCTTAAAAAAGTTCCAATTCCTCCTGACTCCTCTTGTCTCTCTCTCTCTTTTTCTTTTCTCCTGCTTCTCTTTTCCTCTCTGTGCTCTTAATGTGATCTCATATGGTGTGTTTGTGTACTGCTCATTGAAAATCGTTAACCCACAATAGGTATACCAAGATCAACGTTACAATTGTTTTTGAGCAGGGGACTGCACATCTCGGCACACATCCACTCTGCTTTTACGCTAGAAATGTTTATTCTGCCAGGTATAACAATCTTTATCTAAACTCTAGGAGACACTCCCTAGTCACCTAGAGCTGTAACAATATGGATGTCTAATATCTGAGTAATTGGTGCAGAAACCCCAATGAAGGTGGAATTCAAACACTGAGCTTTACTGACGAATCTCACCTGGTTGAGGAGAGGATAACCCGCCTTCTCTTAAAACCTTTTGTTTAATAAACTCCATTAAGTTAAAAAAAACATTACAACAAATATCTCTCAGCAATGTATTTTTATTAAGTAAACAATATAAAATGATAACTTTTTTCAGTGAACATTAATTTGCTGGGTTCATCCCATTTTTCTTGTGATTTTTTTCTGATTTTCTAGATTTGTGCATTGCATCTTATAAATATAGCTTATTACTGAAAAAGATTCAGACATTATGATACTGTTTTATTTTCTCTGTAAGTATAATACAATATTTATACTTTACATTCGTAACAGAAAAAGTTGCCTTAAACAATAGGACAACACAGTACACAATGTTAGCCAACACAAATGGCTGGGTGGTTTCAATTCAATACAGCTTAGCACTACAGGAGAACAAAAAAGCACAAAATATTCTCATACATTTTATCAGGACATGAGAAGCTCAGCTGAGTGTTGGGATTGTTTTAAGCATGATTGGAAAGACTAATAAACATGACACACTGGTGACCTTTAAAAAAGCATCACAACCTTTAAAAAAACATTATTTGCCTACTAAATAAAAACTCCTTACACTTACATAACATTTTTCTTTCAGGACACTCCACTCAAAGCAGTTTACAGGTAATGGGGATCCCATCCACCACCACCAGTATGCAGCCCCACCTGGATGATGCGACAGAAGCCATAGTGCACCAGTCCACTCCCTACACACCAGCTCTCAGTGGGGAGGAGAGCAGAGTAATGAAACCAGTTCATAGACGGGGATTATTAGGAGGCCATGATTAGTAAAGGCCAATGGGAAATTTGGTCAGGATGCTGGAGTAACACCGCTACTCTTTTCGGGAAATGTCTTAGTCTTATTCTTGTTATTCGTACAGTATGAGTGACCTGAAGAAATAATAAGTGCCTGAAGAAACATACATTACATTAAACCATTTACTGTTTTTTTAAAGCAAAGTATTTGCTGTAAAAATGAATCACTCCCCCCTTCAGAAATGTTCCATATTAGGAAGGACAAAGTTCTGAGAACAGGAGCTACTGTAGTTTGTCTTCATGCCATCATGCCACTGCTGTACTGTGTACAACATCAGTTTCTTCCTGATCCCCTAGCAGTGGTTGGAGTAAAGACTATTAGCCTTCATTAATGCAAAGAAGCAGAAACTCAGACTCAGCCAAAAATATGTCTCTCATGATATACGCTATGCACTTGATAAAACGTGTCTGGGCTTTCTTTGGTAGCAGAGTAGACCCTCCATATACTGTAGGAAAAATCCCAGCAGAAGCTCAGCCCACTACAGTCTGATGATCATCTAGTGCACCGGCAACTACATACAGTAAACAGAGCAGTGGAGAGTCAACAGAAAACAGGTGCTTTAGATATGTCCATAGATATGTTACAAAACATTACAGGAGGCTCTTTCTGAAGGCCATGTGCTTGTAAATTAATTGTGTTTTAATGAATGCCATCCCCTCATGGACAACTGAGTGCACTTCAAAAGGAAATGTGTCTTCATTCAGTTTTAATGCTACATACAAGCCAAAAGGCAAAAGAAATGTTCAGCATCTTCTCAACACAAAAGTCCATACTATCAAATTGGAATGATACAGAATGAAACAATAAATGTGGAAAAAAAACTCTTGTTATAGTGCAATGAGTATCAAGGAATAATGGAATGTTATCTTATAAAAACGCAATAATATTTTTTTTCTGTGGCACTAATACACCGCAGGGAATGGTGCATGTCTTTATCCAGTACATACATGTACTATATATATATATTAGCTTTCAAATACACTAAAACCACAGGACCTGAAATATCTGACTTTAAAGTTAGGAGGAATGAGGTATAAATAATTCTTTATTCCAATAAATTGGTATTCTCCCTGTCATTTTGAATTAAAGCACTAGAGCTCCAAATAGAGAGATGGAAAAGAAAAATATTATATCAATTTATAAATTAATAAACTGCTGCTATATTTTGTATGTATCAAATTGTTATAATTTTCAGATTCATATACTTTGTGATATTCTCAGCCCAAATAAATAACAAAAGTGCCAAAAATAATTTTCATATAAACGCAGTACTTAAGAAGCACTAATACCTCAACTTGGGAAAATAAGATGTAATGAAAACTACTTTTAGGTAATCTGCCCTTTGGTTTCAGAGTTGAGTATCAGAAAACCATTTTTCTCTGCATTCTTTTACCATGTCTGAAGCCAGGCAAATAAACTATATAATGAAAAAGGAAATATATTTTTATCTAAATTACTTTCACTTTATTTATTTTAGTTTTCTACATACGGTAGCAAACCCAATTTTTACATGTTCAGCATTTGCTAGCCATCCTACAAGCACATGGACTACATCGCCTGACGGTTTTCTCATTTCTCTAGTTCCTTTCACTCTTTTGATAGAGAAGCATTTTTCTCATCTTTAACAGGGCCTTTGAGCCTATATTCACGAGAATGACAGGGCCTTTGAGCCTATATTCACGAGAATGACACCTCTGCACCAAACACTGGCTTAAACAATCCGAAGCATACTGGGATTATAGCAAGAATACTAAGAACTAAGTACCAAGAAGACCCCAGCAAATCTGTTCTTTACAGAACATCAGATGGCTTACTGAAAATATCCCTCTCATGTCAAGAAAATAACTATGACTGCACTGTACAGAATTTAACTTCATACTTAATGTTTCTGTTGTAATCAATATATGTCTTCTACATTTGCTTTCCAAAAATTAGAATAGGGACACATTTCAGAAAGAGAATGAATACGGATGTTTTGCCTGAAACTGCTTATTAACACAATTAAGGATTTAAATGGTCTAATGCACATTATCATTGATAGTGATAGTGATCACTAGTTACTTTCTGTCCGAGACATTGAAATCGATCCACGATCCAGCGCTCTCTGACTGACATGAGTGCGTTTGGAAACTACACAGCCAGCATTAAAGCAGTTACCTCCTGAATGATAAAACAATAACATTTTTATGCAATGTTTCCAGTTTTCAACTATCAAATATAACTCCAGAAGAATCTTTTGACACACAAAAAACTGTTTAAAATTTGTCCCTTAGGTCTGGAGAATTTTGGAAATGCCAGTCTAGGCAATGAATTATGAGATGGCTGGTCTGGAGAACCATGGCCTGTGTCTGGGTATGAGGACAGGCCAGGAAGGAGAGACATCTCAGCAAAGACTCGGCACTGCCAGTACTGTGGGGACCCATCTCTTCTTCCCACTTCTGTGGCTTTAACTGGGTCCTAATAATGTGGCCAGCCTCTGTGTATTCCCATGTAAATCACACTTTCTCACACAGCCGGACACCTGGGCACCCAGTAGGTCCCGGGATGCTTTGTAGCAACAGGTGAGAACGTAAGGAAAATGTTTCAATCTCATGTTTGCTTCCCTGCAGGCTTCAGTGTCCCAGGACTTCAGTCACACAAATAGCAAAAATATTCAATTTTTTTATTTAGAAATATCATTTTTTGCCCTTTTGGAGTCCGAGCCATGCATTAGTCAGTTCTTTATCCTCACATGTGCTGTGCATCTATTACATCCAGGTATTTGGCTTCAATGATTTGGGGAAGCAGGTAGTTCCTGCGAAGAAGAACCGGAGAAGGAACTTAGTCAGGCTTCACTGGGACAGCTGTTTTCTAGAACATTTGTCTGTTTTCAATTACTGTACCACTTAGTTTAGTGCAGGCAATGGGTTCAAGGGAGATTACAACTAAGGGCTGCCCATTAACCTACAGTATACAGCACATCTTTAGGAGAAAGCCAGTAACAATATGGAGAGAAAGTGCAAAGTCAACAGAATACCACATTATTTTAAACTATGTAGAGCCGCATATGGAGCCGTGGTAGGTCAGATGGCAAGGGTGTTTAGATCCTGACCAGAAGGCCCTGGGTTCAATCCCACGTAGGAGCAGGTGATGTATCTTTCTCTAATTCCTTCCAGAGGGCTCCAAGGTCCATTCAGCCAGCTTTCTGAATGAGTAGTGGGGGGTTAATCCTTCTGGAAGTAATAGGCCAGCTGGAGTGTGATGCTGACCTTATCACCTGCACTTCCTGTGTTGGAGGGTTGAGACAAATGGTGGCCCTACCTACAGCTGCATATAAAGAGCCTTTACATTTTTGTTAATAAGAATTAATAATAATGCCTTGCATTTATAGATCATAAAGGATCTCAAAGAATTTCACAAACAGGAGGCTTTATATCCACCACAGAAGTGCAGCCCCACTTCACAGTAGATCAGAGGAGAAATTTAGACCCCAACAGACTTAAGGGAGAGTTTCATGGAGACCAGACTGAACAATCCCAGAGTGGAATTCATCCAGAATACTGAAGTTAAAACCCCAACTCTTACAAGCAGCAATGGAATCTGTAATGCTATGACCAAGTAGTCACTACTGCCCAGTCTACAAAGTGGTCACACTGGTGCTGTTTCAGTAACATTACAGAGTAAATGAGTAAAGCAGATCCCCAGCTGCATAGTCTTTGTACTATCTGTCTGAAACATAGGACATTGGACAGAAGCAGAAAAGGGCAGATCATGTCAACAAATACAGGATACACAATCTATTAATCAAATTGACATACTGTAGGCCTTTTGGGGCTCATATTAAGGTGGGCATGGTACCTGATGGGGATGAGAAGGATCATGAAGAGAGGGAAGATCATCTTCATGTAGGGCAGGGGGTACATCCCAAAGGCACACAGCACCAGCAACTGCAGCATCTGCAGCCCCGTGAAGTAGTGGATCTTCCTCTGGGGCACCTTGCGGATATAGTGGGTGGGCGGGTAGGAGGTCTAGGGTACAGAGAGATAAACTTCACATCACTCAGAAGTGAACATTTCCCACTCACAGCCACTGAGTCAAATGCCTTTTCTCTTATCTAGAGAGTAAAGCTAAATGGGCCAAATGGCCTCCTCATTTGCAACTCAACAGTTGCCTATTACAACCAGTATCCTATCTTCTTATGTCAGTTTTGCAGTAAAAATTATGAAAGGAGTTCATACCCTGTACTATAGACTACTACACAAGTCTAAGATGCCCTCTTGCTCTGTTTTATTTTGTGTTTTATCTTCTTGTTTGAAGAGTGTAAGAGTTGAGTAAGGCTCAGGGGAAATGTTTGCATTAAGCATTCAGGAAGTTACCATATTTATAATTAATAAACGTTAATCACCTGCTCCTTGAGGAGGAGGGCCATGCGGTCACACAGCTGGTTACCATCAATGGAGGTGAGGGCAATGTACAGGAAGAGGCCATACAGGACAGGCTTGGGGATCCACTGCAGTGGGACTGGCAGCAGGAACACTGACACACCAATCAGGATGTTGGCAGCAAGAGAGGTCAGGCGAGTCTCCATCACACTGACGATCCTGAAAGGAACACACACAAGGCACTGCTTGCAAGAGTAGTAGCAGCAGAAATAATGAAAGCTGTTTAGAGAAGGTGGCTCAGAACGAGTTTGGTGAACCCTGATTCCTACTAGATAGTGCTTTCATTTGTAACATTCTCAGTGTACAGCATGTTTCCCACTTACGTCTCATACAGGTGGCCCCCCTCCACACGCTGCTCCACGTAGGCCAGCTGACGCACGTGCAGTGTGGAGTGGGGGAAGGCTGCGTGCATCCAGGGCAGCCCCAGCACTGACATCAGGATGTTGATGAAGCCGGACAGCATCAGGTCCCAGTGGTAGGCTGTGCCCTTTAGGAGCCTGAAGCACACAGAGCGCAGGTTCAGTCCTCCAGGTATGCTGCATTCGTACTTGTGCAAGAACTGCTGGCACATCATAGCAGACACTGCTGTCATAATTTAAACTGGGTTAAAAACGAATTGATGATATTTGATTATATTGCTGCTTAGAATGACAGATGGGCTTCATTATTCTAGATCAGTTGCTGTAGCTTCAGTTGCTGTAGCTGATATTTCTTAACATTCAAATAGCATATTTGCCAGTAGTTTCGCTCTACTCAATATCAGCTGCCAGGAAATTAATCTTATTGGAAGAAGACCAGTTAGAATGAATTTAGTTCCTGCACAAACTATGACAGAGTGGTCATGCTTTATGTTGTTTTCAGACTTTGTTTGATTACTTTCTATTTTCTGTTTTTTTTTCATGTGATGGCCCATTCTTCTGATTTGTGGTACGTTTTCTATATTTTCCTGTATCATTCTTAGAAATGAACATAACTTTTGTTAAAAAGTATCAGCTTTCACAAAATAATGATCTTCAGAGTAACAAGTAAAGGTTTATTCCAAGTTGAAAAGAAAAGAGAAACAATGTCTCAGCTGTGGAGCCTTCTTCAGGTGTGGTCACAGAGGAAAACCAGCAGCAGAAAAAGTATGAAAGAACAGAAGCCGGGAGTGGAGAGGAGGTGGGAGCAGGAGAGAAGCAGAGTCTACACTCAGGTGGTGTGAAGCCGAGAGAGGTGATGAGAGGTGTGAAGTTAAAACCTGCAAATGAATAGAGAGGATTTAGAAGGAAACGAGTCTGTTGAGAGAAGGGGGAAGGTGTGATCCTAGTTTCAGGATAATTTTGGTTTTGGATGTCTTCCTGTAGTAGGAGTTCTGAAACCCTTCTTTCGCAGATGAAGAGATCAGTATGATCTTGGCCGTTAGAGGTGAAATGGGAAACTATGGGCTTGGAGAGATCTTTGATCCTCAGAGCCCTGACATGTTCACTGAAACGATCTCCCAGTCTCCTTCCTGTTTCCCCAGTGTAAATAGCTGGGCAATTTCTACAAGAGATGCAGTAAATAAGGTTGCTAGAGGTACAAGATGTCATCTGAGTGATCCAGAATTTTCCAGAGGGGCCTCGAATGTGCGTGGAATAAACCGCTACCTGTTCGTTCCGACACATGCTGGTGCAGCTGCCTACTTGAATATCTTCCCTGCAGATGTCAAGCACTCTGACAACAATGAAACCACACCAGGTAGACGAAAGAGATTAACAAATATTTGAGCTGTTATAACCTACAAGGAGCTATTTTAAAGAGAATATGTGCAATGTGGATAAAAGTTAAAATGAGATTTTTAACTATAAAATTCAAACTGTTTTATGTCTGCAGTAGACTATTCTTACAGCAGGGAAAAATAATAATGATGAGATACTGTAAACAGACTAACAACAATTATACACCTTTTGCAAACTGGCATGCACAAACTTGATCTTTTAAAAAAATAGAGGTTTGTCTGAATTAGCTGACTGTGAATTGACTAATCTGTGAATAAGATCTTATCTGTTATTTTTTATTTTCAGGAATATTTTATGGGAAGACCATTATTGTTTAGAGAAGTGATAACGTTTTATAAATGTTGCCTGTGCAAAGTGACAAGGTGAAGACAGGAGAAAAAGGGTCTGCAGCAGCTCCGAGCGGGTACCTGTTCTCGGGGGCATTGGTGAGCGACACCACGATGTTCTGGTCAATGAAGATGAGCAGCGCCAGGAGAAAGCCCAGCCCCATGGCACTTAGCACAGACATGGGAGAGAGGAGGCTGAAAGGAGCCACGTTGAATAGGTTCCCCTCATGGAAATTAAAGACTGGAACTGTAAGACACAAGAAAGGAGTGAGGCCTTCTTACAGCCTGTACTGTATGTTTTGGTGTAGTAGATTTATCTGATTCACACACAACAGGAGAAATATACTGTACAGTACTCTTTTTAAAATTATTTGGGCATAAATACGTTGGTACAGTGGTTAACATTCCTGCCTCACAGTGCTTCAGTTTCCTCCCACAGTCCAAATACTAGAAGGTTAATTAGCTACTGGGAACATTAGCCGTGGTGTATAAACAAACATTTACCACTGCTGCACACCCCTTTTATACCCAATCAAAACTTAATTGTACTCTTATATAAATTAACCAGTTCTAATATGATCCCGATCTGGCTACCAGCAGTTAAGAAGATGTGAAGTGACCTCTAGTGGCAGATCTGTGCAATTACAGCCCTTTCTACAGATGTACTGCAATAAAATGATATTGGCCCAATTAAGCAATATAGGGCTCAGAAAGAAGGAGTGTGGAAATACTGACGGTCAATATCGATGAACAGATATGAACCCACGAAGGAGAAGATGAGCACAGAGATGGGGAGAGCACAGTCCGACAGCACCTCTCTCACTTTGGCATGCAGGAAGGGGCTACAAAACCAGAAAAACACACTGAGTGTCAGGTATTGGGAGGGACACATCTCCTCACATTATAATCTGAAATAAATAGGTAATTAATTTAATTGAATTAGATAAGCTTTATAATACTATGAAGTAGTTCAGGTGGGTAGCTCTGTCCATATGTGTAGGCGGCAAAGGAACAAGTAATAGGTTTATTCCAGCTGAAATTAGGACCTTTCAATTGCACTGCCTCACCTCCTCTTGAACTGGTACAGGGTGTAGCCGAGCCACAGGGTCCCCAGCATGAGCAGCAGGCACAGCACTGGCCTCTCGCGGGAGCACAGGATAACGAGGTCCTCCAGTGCCACGCTCTCACTCTGGTTCCAGGGTGACAGTCCAGGCACCCTCACAGTGCTCCCGTTCAGTAGCAGCCAGGGGGCATGGTAATACTTGTGGAAGACTAACAGAGGGGGGCAGACATTGCAGAGCATGAAGCTTGGAGAAGACATACTGGGTCATCATTTCAGCAGCACTTAACAGCAAAGGCAACATCACTTCGGCTAAGCAAACCATTGTTCCTTTAGCTCACAGACTATAAGAAAATAACCTGATGTGTACCTGATGAGAAATTAGACCAACATTTGAGCAATGACTAACATTAAAGTGAAACTATTGCTAGCTGAAGGAAAAATTGGACCTTGCTTTGTGTTGCCACATATAGGCATTCTGGTAAATGTACGATTCAATATAAAACTATAGAATGTACTTGTCTGACCCGCTCAGCATAAGCCGGTGTCCAGGACAGCCTGGTGTCTCCTGAGTGTCTGTCCACCTGAGCTGTCAGTTACATAGTGGGTCAAATTATTTGTTTAGCTGCATTAGTGCAATATTTCTAATCTGGCTCTGATGTTTTTCTAGATATGAAAATTTAATGAAGTGAATGTTTTTAATAACTAAATGTAAAAAAACCTTAAGAAAGTCTTGCATACAGTGTGTCATAAAAATATAGATATAGCAGTAGGTTAATCATTTAATTCACTACTCACATTGGAACAAAAAAAAAGAAGACATGAGGAGAGCCAGGAATTGAACTGAGTTTGAGACCCCTGGCATATAACACCATGTGTGCAAAACAATCAAAAGCTCATAAGCAATGCACAGAATAGTTTCACGAGGAATAACAACACCAAATCAGATCATATGTCATCTTTACTGAAAAGTTAAGAACGGGCACCTATGGCATAACTCGCTAGACATAGGAGAAGGGAGTCAGTTAACCAAGGGGTCACTCAGAGAGGGAGAGGGGCTGGAGGTGCAAAAGGAAAATGAAAGTCAGGAAGAGAGAGGGTTTTCCTGTGGTTTCCTGAGAGCATTTCAGGAAGTGACTTCATGGAGGATGTACTAACTACAGTACAGCATCAGTGTTGAAGGAGGACTGTGTTACTGCCATTTCTCCCAAACCTTAATTAAAAGTTCCATTTACAAATTGTAAACAGTTTGCTGCAATTCTACAATTGCCACAGAAGAATGATCAAGTGATATATTGTGATATATTGTATTGAATTTTATATTTGTCTATTATTTTTGTACTCAAATAAGTGCCAATAACACTTGTACTGTACCTGAGTCAATCAGTGCCAGAGTCAATCATTACATGAGTAAATCATGCAAATGTTTTTTTAACCTAATGTAAATATGGATATTTCTGAACCTCTCTGATTTCAAAATCTCCAGAAAATGTTATAAAGCAGGATTAATCCCCATTCAGATCCATTAAGACTGCCCCTCTGTTAGAGGAATGTCACAGCCCCTCTCCCCTCTTCTCTTTATCTGAAACATTAAGCATTCGTGTTCCTTTCTACTCATTTTCTACTGTGATGTCTATTTTGTGCTTGGTCTTGTAGAAGACTTGACAAAAGAGTAGTATGTTAAAAAGACAGATGTGTTCTGAAGTGTTCTTACTTTTGAAGGTGCCTTTCACAGCATCCCCCAAAAAGGCAACAGAAATGAAAAGTGCTATGACCTCTTCTGTGGATCTGAAAGACAAAATAATCCTCAGAAAAATAAATAAGTCATCACTGACATACATTATTCTGGATTTTCATCAGTAGCATGGAACTGAATAATAACAATAGTTAGTCATCACCTTGAAGTTTCTTAATCTCCTTCTATCTGATGAAAAGCCCCAAACAAAGCTATAACTTAGTCAAGCCAAAGCAAACCCCAGAGGCAATCTGGTGCTCTGCACAGCTCTGTACAGTACATGTAAAACAAGGCTTCAGCTCAGCATTAACATCAGTGATTTGTTCTATACATGTCAATTTGAATTGAAAATTTTTGGATGGTATATAAATATTGTAAAAACTTGTTTTTGTAAGAATAACCTGAAAATCTAAAAACATTTGGGCTCTAGTGCTTTCTAGCTACTCAGGATCTACTACTAATCATGAAAAAATAAAAGCATATTGGTTTCTTTGTTTACTTTCACAAAGTACTTTGTACTTTGACTTTTTCAAACCTGGTGCTTGTGTTTTGGTTACTAATATACCATGTTAAGTTACACATAATTTAATTGAGGAGACACTTCCTATCTTTATAATTTATTGCATTTTTGCATTGCACTTTGTTGCCATCCTACACTTTAAAAAGCAGTTATTTTAGGAAACTGAACATCACAGGAACAACTACAGACTCTGAGATCAAGTTATTTTGGATTTCCACTGCTAATGACTGGAACAAGGAGGAGGAACAGGGAGCTGAAACTGTCCACCTGCATATCCGAGAAAGTTTTCAGTTGTGGTGATAAAACATTTCTTCCTGACCTTCATGCTTATTAGCACAGCCCTGTTCTGCTCATGTCTGTTAATCTTGTTTTCATTTTTGTTTTCTTTCTCTCACTGCTTCTCTCCTCTGCTACAGTGGTATGAAGCCTCATGGCCAGGTCATCATTGTACAGAAAAATCTGTTCTCAACTTAATTATCTAGTTAAATAAATGATTATTACAACATGAGAGGATCAGCTATATTGTCTTATATAGCTGTTAAAGGTATCTAAATGCATCACTTCCCAAAAACACACATACAGTAGTATAAGCATTCTCAGCAAGCCACCCATACATTTCCAAAGCTACAAACTGAACTCCAGAATACAAGACCTTCAGAACAAAATAGAAACATACAGTGTTGGGGCAGTGTGAGTTAATTGACTGAGATATACAAAGTCACTGACAGGGCCTTGAAGGCTAACAGACTGACTAAAACCAACTGAGAGGCTGACTGATGGAGAGGCTGGACGGACTGACCGTTTGAAGAGCTTCATCAGCAGGCTGGCATTGAAGATGCCTCCAAGAATGAGGAAGAAGCTGTTCCACAGGCCAATGCAGGCGTAGAAGGCAGGGAAGTTCAAGTTATACTCATCACAGATCTCCCTGATAACTGCAAGACAACTGTGAGTCAGCATTGCCCCCTGTTAACACAAGAACAGACAGCACTGCCAATCTGCTTACTTTTAGCACTGCCCTTTCCTGACATGTCCTGGGCAGGCTAGTTCTGAGAACAGGAGGCAGCTCTTTACAAAAAAGGTTTTTAACTCAATTTAACTCAACCCCCTAACTCTATCAATGTACTGCGTGCAGTCAGGTTCAAATCAATCAGTCCAAGGGGAGTTCTCCTGCCCAGACCATTACCCTTGGACTTCCCCATTGGTTGGTCTGTAGGGGAGAATTCTACATGTCTGTGCAACACGCTCACTCGTGTCCATCAGAGTGGTCAGCACAAGCCCTTGATTCACTGATCACAGAGGACTCGGCTCCACTGCTGCAGAGTCCCCCTGAGGTGTTATTCTAACATACCCATTGCAGGAAGGCAAAGGAAAGTTGAGGCATACTGTATGGGTTCCTTTCTGTGTCTTTCATAATTTTCACTAGTCTGGATATTCAGCAGGTTGAATCACCTTATCATCTATGCCAAATCAGCTCACTAATAAGATAATATTTATAAGCTTTTCTTTTCTAAAAACACATACTGTACATAGATTGATGCATTTGTTTTGATGCTTAATATGTTTATTTACTGCATAGTATATATTTGGGTGCATTCTTCAGTTTTTCTTATACCGAGCCATGTTTTAATCATTAATCATTGCTTAATCAAGGCTGTTTTTTCTATGGAAGATATAAAATCACAGATCCTGGCATTGGAAGGGACCTGTCTGCTTATCCTTGATGAAGGAATAAAATGCAAAGCTCCAATTACTAGACAGAGAAACAGGGAGATGGACTCCAGTTTCTGCGGTGTCATCACTGACCAGCTATCTTCCATTCATTCGCAGCTCACACAGGCAGAGAGCAGAGCAAAACATTACCGCTGATGAAAATGGCGAGGGGGGCTGTGGTCAGCGGGATGACCAGTGGGGACCCAGCAAACAGAGAATAGATGATGCCTCCAATGCTTTGTCCGATAATGGTCTTCCATACGTCTGTGAAGAGGGAAAACAGGGCTGAGAAACACTGACAGGTACAATGACCACTTCCACATCACCTGGTGACCTCTTCCCTAAGCGCTGAGCCATACAATAGCTTCTCTTTATTTGCACATTTAAATGATCATGCTTAAATAATTGCTCTATATAGACTAATGTTCATATAACATTTTCTAAAAATTCTAATTAAAAACTACCCAATTTCTGTATCCTAGTTAGGTCTTATACCTTATTTATGAAATTTGGATAGATCCTACATTTATTTTCTGATGGCTTACCAGAATAAAAATTGAATTTACATTTCAGATAATTATTTAAATTATTTTTTCAATGGCAACGTTTACAATTTCAGTCACATTCCTCATTCTGACAAATGCTACGTACCTTTTTTGTTAAAGTTTGCGCCTTCTAAACTAAAGCTGCCTGACACACTGTGTCATCTCATTTAAGCAAAATCTTTGTCTATAAACTAAATAACCTCCAGCTCCTCTCATGCCTCTGCAGCCTCTTTCACCGACTCAGCGCTTCCTGTTCCTCTTGTCTGACTTCACCTCTGAGATTCTGACCTTTGGCATTTAAACCTCTCTAGTTACACCAGAGCCTAAAACCTAATCTGGTTTTGGATAATTTCTGGCCAATATTGAATTTGCCTTTTCTGTGCTGCAGCAACGCAACTAAATAAATTTTAGAAAGACCGTTTGTCTTGGTTCACAACATCATTGTGAGGGTTTGCATTTTCTGACAACAGCAACTGCAAAACTAATAGTGTGCCAAATGTTCTATGAATGTGTCGTAAGTGAATGCCATTGTAATAAAGAAATTATATTGAAATGAATATCACATTTTATTACTTCACAAGCAGCAGGTTTTAGCTTAACTGTTTCAACTTAGAAATTACTTACTGTATGTATTGTTATGACTGTCAAATGCCAGACACTGGCACCTAGATCCAAAGGGGAGTCACTCACCAATCTCCCCCCGTGTGCTCTCATCATTCAGAGACCCGAAGGCGATGGCTGGGAGCAGGATGGCGATATACAGAAAGATGGCAGTGGTGGTATATTTCAGAAGTGTCTTGTTGTTCCCAACAACTCCTGGAGAAAAGAGCAAAAGTGAGGTCTTCTTAAGGGGTTGATTCAGAACTGCAAGAGGAGTAGGCACACCTTCAGCCAGGATAAGAGGCCCCACAGACACAAGTAAGTGAATTTAGTGCAGGTGTGTTTAGGTTTGAAAGTACAGTAGGTAACATGTTTTTGCAGTCATAGAAGATGTGGTGTCTGGAACAAGATGTAGGCAAAATTCAGTCTTTGCTGTCCATAAAAAAGGACTGCAGAAGATTCAGGGATCACTGAGCTAATGAGCTAATAGCATTAAATGGCTCAATGGTATTAAGCCAGATATCTCAAATGAGAACAAACTCATATCTGCAATGAGAGAGAGAGTGGACCTATTTACAGTACATAGAGCACTTAGAGTCAAGCACCTTGCTCAAAGGGAAGACAGCATGGACTTTTATTTATTTGACTATCAAGAGTTTCTTCTTAAAAGTAAACTTTTAACTTTCTTTATTTTCTGTACTGAAACTGGATGAATTTATTAATTTAAATTAAATGAATTTGAGCTCTTTGTAAATTTTCTTTGTGAAATATTTATAAAAAGTTGATTAAATGTAGAAAAGAGAATATGTTCATTGCAGGACGGGGTACAGTATTTGGTTTATATAACAAAAATATATTAAATCTAAAGATAATCAGGTGGATATTCATCTCGGATGAGTGACTGAAGCCATGTTCGACAACACAAGGGAGGTGAAAGCAGGACCTACAAATAAGCTATGAGATCCAGATTATCCAACTACTAACTACTTTAGTCAAAGATAAGTTAACATGGAGAGGTTCTTAGGTGTTGCTGTGAAGAGCTCTGAATCTCAATGGGCACGCTCTCAGGAGATTCCCAGATTTCACAGGGCCTCCCTGTACATATCAAGAGTGACACCGAGGGAAGGTGCTGTCCGTGGTGCTGAAGAAGCGCTGATAAAGAAGGGTCCATGCCGAGGTGCTGCCTGCAGTCTTTCCCCAGAGAACCACAGGGACTGTGCTACTCATGTCAGACACCAGCAGTGGATGTGAGACAGTAGGCAGAAAGTTTAACAAATTCCATTATCATGGGTGCACTTTCTGCTTTTCATTCTTTTTTAATTTCTCTAGGTTAGCTCAATGTTGTATAATAATCGTTATGCCATGTACAAACTGGTTCTGATCTCTCAGTTTTTAAATGTTCAAATAGAGAAGAAAGGATTATTTTCCAAATGATGTCTTTGTTTTTTATGCAGCTTCCTGGCAGAAAAGCACAAATCCAAATACCGTCTGTGAAGTCAGAGGTATAAAGAGGCAGCCGTCGACAGAAGTCTTCATAAATACCCCTGCCAGCCCTCAGGAAGTCCCTGTACTAAAGAGAGAGACAGAACCTGTTCAGATCATGAATATGGGGTGTTAAATTAGCAATCACGATTTAATATGGCAACAGCAAGAATAACACCACTGAATTGGTGCTATTAAATTGCCACATATCCTGAAATTATTAGTGACTTTACGGCTTTATGCAGACACAGAATTAAACTCCATTGAAGATTAGAATGGAAGCATATTTTTCCATTTTACCTTCTTTTATCAAGAGAAATGTCCTATACAGTATATTGTGGTATTTAAAGAATTTAAGACACTTCTACATTGACTACGTCTTGAGGGGTTGATGCGCTTTCTATAACATGCTTACTGCACAGAGGCCTGAACATATACAGTATATCTACACTCTCTATCTGGGGATCACTACGCACATTATACACTATCGTTCTCTACTGCACCTGTTACTGCTGTCCGCAGTTTACTGTGGTTTTAGGTGAGGTTGTATTTTGTATTTCATCCTTTTTTATTAAAATTGCCAGATTGTATCTAATTTAGCAAATCAAGGTCTTAATTCCCTTGTACCATACGGATCATTGCAAAGACCCAATGACTCATGCCCTTTGGAAATGTACTGCCCATTAGAAACATCTCCTCTCAGAACCTGGTGAATTCTAAGGTGCAGTTGGTTAAACACTGTAAATCTCATAAAGCAGTTCAAGTCCCTTTAAACATGATCTCTGTAGCATTTTTATACCCCAGGGAAATTGGGAATTTCAGAGACCTCCATAGTTCTGGAAGCTCCCATTATACATCCAAAGAAGAGGCAGTAATTGTACATTTGTCTCTCACATACTGTAACTGCTTATCTAATTCAGGGTCACAGTGGGCCAGAGCCTATTCTGGAAAGCACTGCCACCTCGCAGCGCTCAGCCCCTGAGTTCAATTCCTGAGGTGCTATATTTGCATAGAGTTTGTATGTCCCTCCTAATGTTCACATGAGTTTCCTCCAGATGCTCCACTTTTCATCCACAGTTCAAAGTCATGCTATTAGTGTAATTGATGTCTGTTAAAAAATGGCCCTCTTGTGTGTGTGTCTAAGTGACCCTGCGATGAACTGGCATCCCGCCCAGGGTGTACCCTGCCGCTCATTGCCGCCAGATTAGGCTCTGGCTCCCCACAACCCTGTATTGAATAGAAAACAGGCAGATGGAAGAGCTCATGAGATTATGGTACACTTGAATATATAACAATATATATATAACTATATAACAAGTAATAAAGACATCTCATACTTGACTTTTATTGATTCAAAGATCCTTAACATTTGGAAAGTGTAATCTGCAAGCTGAACAAGGCCTAAAAGCTACTGTATACTGTAATGTGTTAGGTTTTTACAGATTTGCTTAGCTTAAACTATAAATTTAGGCTTAGCCTAAAATAAATATGCTTACTAAACTATAAGTGAATGAATCAGTAACGTGTTTTGAAAGAGCTGACTTCTTTGTTCTGCACATCACAATGAAATTGAACTGGATTGAACAGAGGAGACTACAAGGTGACCTGCTCGAAATCCTCAAAGGTCTTGACAAAGTCCACCTAGAGAATGAACACTGAAACACAAACCAAGTGTGCTGTCTGTGCACTTCAGACTGAGAATCGGAGGTACTTCCTTACAGAAAGGGTTGTGGGAGCATGGAAGAAGTTACCCAACCATGTTGTCTTTCAAGACATGACTGGATGACCCTGGATCAATGAACTACTAGCTATTAGCCAGGCTTCTCATGTCCTCTCTTGGCTGTACCGTGAGGGGCTTGTGCCTGTGAGGGTCCGTCTCCTCCTGCGTGGTGGCAGGCTGATGGTTGTCGCAAGTGAGCCGGTGACGCTGCTGCACCAGGGCTTCCTTAAACTCCTCCTGCGTCTTGGTCTCCAGCAGCTTCTGCCTGAAGGAGATGTCGGAGAACATGGTGGCAAAGGTGCGCCCCAGCTCCATGGCCGTCTTGGTGCTTTTCTAGAAGGCAAAACAGAAGCAATCAATTCACAGAGGAGTGAAAATAAAAATAGTCAATGCCACCTGTATGGGCCTGAATTATATTCCAACCTTCCTTTTCAAGTTTTCTTCCTTTGGTAGTGACACAGGAGATTTACATGCATCGCATATGTGATCAAATTCTTTCTTTACAGAGATCTGGAACTAAATGACTTTACTGGTGTTTTACTGGAATATTCCTGGAATAATCACATTTATTGTAAATAAAATGATTTTTGATATCTCCACAATATGTACTGTATTGAGCTACATTTGTATTGTATATACTGTATACACATGAAACTTCATACTTTGTGGGAGTCTGGAACAAGTTACCCAGCCATATTGTTGAAGCCGATACCCTGCTCTTTTCAAGATACAGCGGGATGAGATCCTAACATCAATTAGGGACTCAAAAGTTAAGCTAAATGGGCCCAAAGGCTTCCTCTCATTCTTAATGTGGCTGAAACTGATGTTTCTACAGAATGTGTTTTGTACCACTGATATTTTTAATGACAGGACCCTGGAAATTTCATTGGCCAGCCAGGCTCTTTCCTTCCACAAAACAGTGGATACTAATCTATTTCAGATTCGAATGAAAAGATCATAAAACTGTCAATTCATTGCATGTTGCTGTGGTGATTTGATATGTAATTCTGACTTGTTATTCTTTAAAAGCAAGCATTCAAACAATTAGAGAATAAACAATCAATAAAATCATCCAATGAAAGTGATTAGGAACTCACTAAAGCAGAGACATTCAGACACCCCTGTGATTTCTTGCATTCTCACTTATGTGTTGAGGATCAGTGTGTAGCAAACAGTTACCATTTTGTAAGGAGCCAGGATGAGAATGATATATCGGACTTCACAGCAGTTCTCTCCCCAGTTCTGAGGTCTTTCCAGTCTAGAGATGCAGACATGTCGCCTTTGAAGGCTCTTTACACTGCAGCTGCACAGAGGAAACACAACATCAGTAGTGAGTTGTCTCTGCCAGCCCATCAAGGTTTTAATTGTCCTAGATCTGTTGCCTGGGGTGCGGGCTGAATGTGTACTTTAAAAATAAAATTAACATTTCGTCTGTGTTCTGTTGGCTCTGCCTTGGTGAGATGTACAGATTTACACACATGTATACTGTATATACTGTATAACAAATATCCTGCTGGCATTGTGGGCAGAATCCACTAATTCTGGAACTGCTCAGGGATACATGCAGGAGTTCCAGACCCCGGAGTTGGTGGGATATTTGCAGGTGCCAGGATTAGTTTGTGTTCTAGAGGTGTTCCAATGCTGGTTATCTTAATCTTTATAATCTGAGCTGAAATTATTTTGTTGTTTTTAGAGAAGTAAAGTTTCCTCTCATAATTAATGTCATTTCTATTTACAAGTTATTAAGAATAATACTCTTTTCAGCAGAGCATGATATTGTATTACACCAAGGAGAGCACAGTTCCAATTACTCAACAACATCCAAGCTGCAAATCTGCAAGATGATGAGTGTACAAGTGCTCTTGAATTATGGAAGCACTTCTTTATCAAAGAGTCTGAGAGCTGAATCTTGTATAAAGGTCAGGGAATTATGATGTTCATCTGTATGGAAAGAGATTACAAGAGACAGTTAACAGGGATTTAAAACAGGTAGATCTAACTTATGTTCTTTGAGCAAAGGATGAAAACATTAAATTCAAAGTACTTTATTCATCTCCAGGAGCAATTTAAGCAGCCAGTGGTAGAACACAACACTAAAAAACAACATTGCTAAGAAAAGAAGAATATACATAAATAAAAACATCAAATGGACCATGAGAGTGATTGAAAGTAAAAGTGTGAAGTACAGTATATAAGAAGTTATTAAAGTATTATACATGCAAATCTGTAGAGGGGGCTCTGTCCAATAGAAATCAGATTGATAAGACTTTTTTCAGTCATCGTTGCAAGCCTAAAGGGCTTTTGGAACAAAGCTAAATTTTCTTATGCAAAGGAACAAGTAATAGGTTTATTCCATGCTGAAAAGAGAAGAGAGAAAACAAAATGTTTCGGCTGTGAAGCCTTCTTCAGGTGTGAAAGAAGGTTGAATATGTCCATAGACCTGCAGACCTGCTTCTTTTTCAGAAGAAAGGGTAGAAACAATTTCAGAGACAATTATAGTTTTGTTCCTTTTCCTAATATGAAATATTTGTCAGAACTTGCTCAAGTTCTAGCAAATTCTCAATATTTATAACTGCAGGGCCTGTAAATGACAGTGCCTTCATTTATACAATTTACATTAAGAATAAATTATAATGAATTAATGAATCTGATGAATGAGTTAATGGAGCCATGCATGTTTCTCCCAGTGCTCTACTCACAGAATGCAAAGCCAGGACTGCTGGTACTGGATGCCTGTGGCTGTAGCAGTCACGCCCTGGATGGTCTCCGACAGCAGGTGGACTGTGAGGAGACAGACGGCAACAGCCCATTGTTCTCACAATGCCACACTCACCCATGAATAGGGATGATAAATCCAAACCAATGAGCTATAAGTCTTACTGCATTATTGAATTGGATATGTATCCAATTTAAAACTCCAAAAAGTTAGACTTTTATTACATGTACAGTTATTTAGCAATTAAAAGTTCTTTGAGCTAGCAACAACTCTAATGGATGCTATAATGGATGGTATTTTTAGATTTTCAGATGGCTATGGTTAAATATACTCATGAATCTCATAATTGGTTAGACATTAAACCAAGGTCATGACTGTTTTGTCAAGAAATGTCCCATGTCTAGTTTGCAAGATGAAGGGATGAAGTCGACTTCAGGGACTTCATAAGGGACTGTAAGGGACTTACAGGGATTAAGTCATACAGCTGCTTAGGTGGTGTCACAGCAATAACCTGAACTTGAACGTAAATAAAACAAAAGAGCTAATTGTGGACTTTTGGAGACACAGGCCACACACTCAAAGCCCACTCAGTATTGATGGAACAGAAGTGGAAACAGTCACCAGCTTTAGGTTTTGGGGAATTCACATTTCTAATTATCTAACCTGAACTGTGAACACTGACTACCTTGAAGAAGGTTTAGCAGCGCTTTTATTTCTTGAGGTGCCTCAAGTGATGGGGGATGCCAGTACCTTTGTTGGTGAACTTCTACCGCTGCACCATCGAGAGCATCCCCACCAACGGGATCACCGTGTGGTAAAGCAACACCTCTTCTCGAGAAAGAAAGGCACTGCAGAGAATGGTGAATGTGGCCCAAAAGATCATCGGCTGTGGTCTCAATGAGATTAAACAGCTCTATGGGGATGACCGCTGCCGTGGTAGAATTCTGGCCATCACAGAGGACAGTCACCACCCCTGGCATGTGCTCTTCACCCCACTGCCCTCAGGCAGGAGATACAAGAGCATATGGACACTTACCACCAGATTCCTCAATAGCTTCTATCCACAAGCAGTGTGATTGGCAAACACATTTAGCCATGCCCCTCGGACCACACCTACACCATCTACCTCATCATGATTTCTTATTTATTGTACATCTCCAGTCATTGTTTATACGTCTGCATTGTTTACATTCAAACTGTTTTCTTGTTTACTTGTACATTGTCTACTGTTTGCTTGTATATTGTCTTGATGCATTGTCATAACATTGTGTTTTTACACTTCTTTTAACAATCGAGAGACTTTCTGTAAGTAAGAATTCCATTGTACCAGTACATGTACCGGTTACATATGGCAATAAAGTTCAAGTTCAAGAGTAAGAGTTTAAACCCAGAGTCCTGGCTAAATTCCACTCTGAGATTGTACAGTCTGACCTAAAGCTCCCACTTAATCCGGCAGGTGAACCAGTTCTGCACTTCCCTCTAACTGACCCACTTTGTAGGGGGGATGCTGGAGCAGAATGGCTTCTGTGGGTCACCCTATAAAGCCCTCCTATAAATAAAGGGATTTGGGATCCTTCTGGATGGAAAGCATTATACTGTAAATGCAATTAATTACAATTGTATCACCATCATCCTACACCAAACAGTGTTGCTCACCTTGCAAAACTGCAGGCCTAAAACTGCAACCTGCATGTTGTATGCTGTGCAAGTCCAAAATGCGAATAGTTGAGTTTGTATTTGTCAAGAAGCACAGCATAAATATTTTAAATGTATTTATTTCCTGTATAGAAGAATATGTCTGAGCTACTCTATTTCTGTGTCTGCAATTTTCAGATTCCTCAGTGTGTTCTGGATGATGTGTGTTGCCATGGCAGTGGTGTTTTGGAACTGAGGGAGACTACTTTGAACTGTGATTACTTGAGCAATTTCATAATACCCAGCAGGCACACAAAATAAGAATGCTTGCTATTTTGAGTACTGTCAAACTAATAACACAGTTTGAAAACAGATGTCTCTCTGCCTAATTGGTTTATTCAATGTCAGATGGACACAGTAGACAACACGTTGCCAGGAGCACTATTACAACAATAATTGAGAGCGAAATAAAAATAGATGGTATTTGTGTTTTTGTATAGAGCCCCACTAACTCAATGTATTACATGATTTGTTTTCTGAAAATGCTTGCCAGTGATCAAAATAACTTTTTGGTTTTCAGAACTGAACTAAAAAATTATCAAATTTCGCCAAAAAGTAACGCAAAAGTATAAATACAATACATGCTGTTAAACTCTCCAGATTGCAAATAAGGCATTATAAGATAAAATGCCAACTAAAGTGGAAACAGTGCCTGTTAATCTACTGAAAATAAACAGCCAGTGCACTGTATTGTGCACTTTTATCACATCTTTCTTCAACACAAATTAATCTTACTTTGCTTAGTTTCAAAATTAGTTTGAAATTTACCTTACAAGCGAACACTAGAGGCAATTCTTACCATACATAGCATATAAAAACATGCTAAAAGCAACAATAAATATGTAAGAAGCAGGAGTATTCAGTGCACAATGAGTTGGAAAACAGGGAAAATTATTTTGCACACAGCAAACATTCTTAAAAGTGGAATTCTGAGTTAACTGAAGAATTTGTTATACTATGTTTATAATATATGAAATGATCCTGATTGTAATTCAAAATGGACTGTGAATGTTTTCTCAGCAGTGCATTTGTTCTGCTGTGATAGAGGAGATCTACTGCTCATGTATACTGCAATGATATAAATATACTGTAGCACTCTTGGGTTCACTTGGGTATGCACCCTAGCTGCTGAGGTCTCTGCTATTCACAGGGAAGGGCAGTGACGTCACCACGCTGGTAAGCCGGCTCACACAACCTGTAATGTCGGCCATATGCGTTACAATACACTGTATGGACCAACCCAAGGAATTCAAACACTTTTTCTCAGCACTTTACTATAATACTGTTTCTGAGCAAGAACTGTATAAGTAGCAAAGGAAACTCAAAATGATAGAAAGCATATGAACATACTCTGAGAAGAGGAAGCACTCCCTGGTTTCTTTCAAGAAAGATCTGAATGAGATCTTTGGGTCAGTTGTCTCTAACAATCCAAAGGGTCTAGTTGCCAAATGGCCTCCTCTCCTCCTTTCTTTTGTGCCTATTTCTTGCACTGTAAATAAGCCAGAGGAAAGACACAGCCTCTTTGAATGTGCGGCCTTCGGAGTATGGGCATTCTGGAGAAGGTGCTGCACTGTCTTTTACAGAAGCAGTGATAATAATCATCTAATAAACAGTAAAAATGTTTATCACAGGAAACGTGAAGCCATTGCTGTGGGGAAACCAGCTTTTAACAGACTGATGCCACGCTCCAGAGCAATTTCACAGCAATTCAAGTGCATGTGACTATCTGCTTTGGGTCAGAGACCTTGCCACTCAAGGTCGGGTGATTAAGCAGCCAAGGAGAAGGATCATCGTCTTGCAAATCAGAGCAGAGACAGATGAGGATGAGACTTATCAAGGCCTTGGCAAGGAAAGCATTTCACAACAAGAGAGAAAAAACTCTTCAGAAGTGCATATGGAATTATATCATTGTACTTGTAATAAAACACTTCAGTTTAGTTAATCATTTTAACTAATACAGATATTACAACATATTTTTGAATATTTTGGTCTTCTTAGGGGTCGCACACTGGCATGTGGAAAAACGAGCCCTGGTGTGAGTGAGTGTGTCTCCGTCTCTGCCCTGCAGTAGCCTGCAATGGTCCCATCCAGGGTGTATCTTGCCTAATTCCCAATGATTGCCAAGATAAGCTCTGGAATTGGGTGGATCCTATCTCAGCAAAGCTGAATTGCATAAAGTGGTTAAAAAATTGACAGAGGAACAAATCTTCATTTTAGACCTAATACAGTAATGAATGAATTAATCCATTATTGACTAGATTAATAATGCAAATTAACTCAATTGTTAATTGGTGTTTGATTTTGAGTCACTTTGTCAGTGAACAGTGCTAGAATTACAATGCTTCTGGAAATCACAAATGAATTGAGACCTGCTCACCAGGTTTTCTGATCAACATGTATATATTTGTGCTGCAGCATGCACTCACACTATCTACAGTTGGATGCCCAAATTACATGTTCTGTTGAGTTTCTAAGTGAAAAGAAGTTAACACAAACTAACAGCAGCGAACAAACTTAAACAACATATTTCTGCAAATTTTAAATCACAGTTACTATTTATTTTCTGAATTTAACAGATTGAAAAAAATGACTCTTCCGTGCAGATCATGTTTGTGCAAACAACGCTGCACAGTGGACTGGTGCACCACTACTCCTGTGCCAGTTAAACCTTCCTATACAGTAGGTCCTTTGCAGTGATATGGGGGTTTTGCTTTGCATTATTGACCAGTCTACAAGCAGTTCTATCAGATATTTTTCTTGGTTTTCTAGATCTTGTCTTGACTTGACAGTTCCCCTTAACCTCCATTTATTAATGACATTTCTGACAGTGGAAATTGCCAGCAGAAAGCATTTCAATAGCTTTTTATAGCCTTTTCCTACTTTGTAAGAGTCAATTATCTTTATTTTCTGATCCTCAGTCAGCGGTTTAAAGGAACCAATGGTTGTTGAGTGTAAGCACAACACCCAGAGAGGTTCTGGAATTGTCATCACCTGACTTAGATTAAGGCTTAATAAGTCAATTAAGTTATGAGACCAAAAACTAACACAAGTGGATCAACTGGAATGGTTCCAAGACAAGATCTGGAAAGATCAGAAGGAAACCTTACCTGCGATCTTATCACAAAAGTCTAAATCTTAAGTATGCAACACTAAACTTAGATAAGCCAGAGGCTTTTTGGAATGAAGTGCTGTGGTCTGATGAAATAAAAATTGAACTCTTTGGCTACAATCACCAAATGTAAGTTTGGAGAAAAAAAGGAGAAGCATTTGAAGAAAAGAACATCTTGACAAACTGTTACGCATAGGGGCGGATCTATTATGCTTTGGGGTTGATGGCAGCCAGTGGCACAGGAGATATTGTGCGGGTAGAGGGAAGAATGGATTCTACTAATTATCATAAATTCCTGGAAGCTAATGTCCCACAGTCAGTAAAGAAACTGAAGCTGAAAAGAGGTTAGATATTACAACAAAACAATGATTGAAAACATGTCTCAAAATCAACCATGAACTACTTCAAGAAACAAAAAATTAAGGTTTTGGATTGGCTTTCACAGTCCCGTCTTGAATGTTATTGAAAATAATGTGGGTAGAACTCAAACATTCAGTGCATGCAAGACAACCTAAGAATATTTCTGAACGAGAAGCATTCTGCAAGGAAGAGTGGAAAAAAATTCTTAAAGCAAGAATAGAAAGAGTGTTAGCTGGCTTCAACAAACGTTTGGAGGCTGTGATTTCTGCCAAAGGGGGTGTTACTAAGTACTGACTGATAGGGTGCCCAAATGTTTGCACATGCCACATTTACTATTTTATTTTTTTCAATCTGTTAAATTCAGCAAATAAAGAGTAACTGCATTAAAATTTGCAGAAATATGTCAAGTTTAAGTTTGTTAACTTCTTTTTACTTAGAAAATCAACAAAACGTAATTTGGCCAGGGGTGCCCAAATCTTTCCATAAAACTGTACAAACACAACCAATCCAAATTTAGTAAAAAAAAATTAACGTAAAAACAATTCACTTACTTTGTTTCTGTTTTCAACATTGTTTCCTCTGAAATGTGAGGTCATGAGGCACATTTTAACATAATTTGAAACAAGATAGCCAGTCACATTGTCAAGAGATTTCTGGATAAGTCCTTCAGATCAAATAGCTATTAGCAGCCAAACAAGCTGGAAGGGCCAAATGACCTTCTCACATTTCTAACCTTTTATACCTTTCATGAACAGTAAGTTTTTACTTTGTTCTGCAGCAAAGAGGTCTGAAACTCCCCCTGTGAGTGTTTCTAGGTATGGGTTAGGAGTCAGAAAGTGGGACACACCAGCTGTGTGAGAGCAGTAGGTTCTGAGAAGAAAAAAATTCTTGTCAGAGCTACATTCTCCAGGAGGCAATAAGAAATGACCTGCCATCCTTAGTCAACTGATTGGTTGGCATAAGACAACTGGTCAGGCAACCAATTAAAAAACAGGAAGCTGAGGCTCTTGGGGTTAGACTTTGTCTACTGTCAGGAAATGGGGGCAGATCCTCTGTTACCCAAAGAGCACCAAAGGGGGAAAGTGACTTACTGTACTTTGTGTTGCAAAGAAAGAAACTGTTTTGGAGCCTATAAATATCTTTGTTGCTTGGGTACTAAAAGACACCAATGAAGCATACAGCAGCTAGAAGTTAAAAGAGGAGCTTAGGATTTTATTTCAGTCTGGTTTTAAGTTTTTCCTCTTACTTTCTTTAAAAGAGCACTTTTGTCTTCACCTTACTTTTTTGTGTGTCTGTTTCACCCTGACCAGCCTATCAATGCTCTTGATTACCACAGACAGCCCAGGGAGTGTCACACCAGTTCACACAAAAGTCCTCACCATTGACCTCCTGGGCGCCAGCGTCCGTAAACAGATGGCTCATAACTTCCTCAAAATTGCACCCAGGCTCAGAGGTGTGGCTCTCCTGACCCACGTAATGAAGCATCTTCTTCAGCACATCGTCCAGCGAGGCAGCAGTCTCATCCAGCAGGATACTGGCACGAGCCAAGAACCCATCCAGGTCACGATGAGCCCGGATCTCCTCCTCGAAATTCATGAGCTTCACGTACTGTAGAAGGAACAGAGTGGTGCTGG